AAAGCGTCAGCATTATGCTTCCCGTTTATGGTATTGGCCTTGACGCATTCTTCGAAACGCGTGCATGAGATAAAAGTGACACGCAATAACACGATACTGAATGTGAATGAGTACACGAAACAAAAGAAAAGCAGCATATTTTCTTTTTCATGTTTGGTTTGGCTGACACTACAGCTTAGTATAGCATATATCTATGCATTCCGCATGCCTTGTTCAGTCGGAAATGCATATACTCGGGGCCCAGATTCACAGTTTCCACAGAAATGTGGACACAACACTTCCTTGGGATCGCAGCTGCTGACGCACAGGTCGCGGCATCGAATCCCATCTGCGGTGGCTGCATTTCCGATGGAGGCAGAAAAGTTGTAGGCCCGCGTGCTCACATTCGGGTGCACGTTAAAGAACCCCAAGTTGTCGAAATTTCCGGAGCCTAATAATCATATGATGGTTTTGGGACGTTAAACCGCACATATCAATCAATCGCAGCTGCTCGCAATCTGGTCACTCACCTACGAACACGAGCACGGCCACAAGCAGCACAGAGCCCGACGGCACTCAGAGAACCATGCAACATTCGTTGTTTCTCGTCGATTGCAAGTAAGGCTGCAGGGACTTCAACACCGATGCGACGCGCCGCCGAACGCCGGCGTCGTTTGCGTTGTTTGCCACCACAGCGCACAACGCAACCAGCGTAGTCAGCCCGTTGACATATGCGGTAGAGCTTCCAGGTTTTCACGAAGTTTCTTCAGGTTGCGGTGGCTCAACGCGGCAAATTCAAACACATACTCAAGCACACGCACTAATTGGCTCCCGCGCTGACGACGCTGGCACACGCTTGCCTCGCGCACATGACATGAAAAGGCCCAGTGACGCTGGAAGAAATCCTAGTGGCCGTCGGTGTCACCAGGGCCTTTGTCAAGCTGTTCTCGAGACCTTTACCAGAGGCGATCAACCAGTTCAGTCTAGTGGACAAAAAATTAAATTTAAAATTGAATTGATCTTCCATTCATTAACGATGCCTATAGAAACCGAAGCCCACGCAGTAATATCTCAGAAACGACCCTCTTAACGCTATCGTGCTAAAATGGGATCATTGTTGTCTTGTTTAGCAATTCTTGGACATTAACCGGAATCGATTAATACTTGGAGGCTACGGACTCATTACTGTTCTTTGCATGTATATTGTTCCCGTGGTATGGCAGTGACGGTAAAACAACATGATGGAAATAGACGCTGACAGAACGCTCACGAATCATGCGAAAAGCTGGCGCTGTAAACGCGCACCGAAAGGCAGCAGACCCAGCCTCATTCTTCACTATACACCTTTTCACAGGAAGGAAAAAAACACCGCCATGATGGGCTGTACGCGGGAGCACAAAGGCTAAGGGCGCAGCGTTTCCAGTGCATTTTCGAGGGAACGCGGAAATTTGCACAGCCCAAGGAGGGCTACGGCGGCGCCCAGGGAGGCGTTTATGAAAAGGTGAATAATCACCACTTTTAGGTACCGTAGCGCCGCTGAGCGGTGGCGACTGGAAACTATGATGAGATGCTTGACGTTTTGGCCCTATTTCTAACAGCAGATATTGCCGCTTGTTTTATCACGTTTGTGGTCGTTTTTCAATGTTGTGAACGGCCTCAATATTACCGTAACCCTTTGAGTTTCCCAGGATAGGGTAAAGCATAGTAAGAAATATCCGACTGATTTCACTGCGAGCCTCGATGCTCGCAGCCTGTATACACCAGAAGGAAAATAAGCCTCCCGTTCAAATTAGCGCCCCAAAAAGCCAAGAGTGAATGAGAGGGTTAAATTTAGTAGTAAAATAACCAAGGACCGTGAATGTTTGCTGCGCCCGATTTGTGTACGAGTACAAAAACTTCCAGGTTAGCAGTTTTCGTTTCCAGGTAGGCAGACTTAGTTTGTCTGCTCGACACGGTCCCTTGGCATACAGTCCCAGTAGTAAATAAAGAATGCGTTCCGCCCATAGAATAGAATGAAAAAAAAAACGATTTCAAGACGATCATCGCATCATCACTACGCTATCTTTTGTACTTCTCAAACACCAAAACATATATTAGTAACTGAAACATCAATTCCTCAATGTAGAAATTGCGTATTACGACTAGTGGCAATCGCTGTTTACCGACTTCATTTTTCGATATTCTTTTGTTCTTTTTTAATTCAAGAAAGCACCCTGAAATCATAATGCCGGTAATATGGCATGCCTCATTGTGTGCTTGTGCTTCAGTAATAAAAAAAGATTTTTTTTTTCGTCTGCTTATTCTACTTCGTCAGCTGAACAAGCTTCGCGCAGAAATCAATGCAAGTAAACGCAAGATTAAGCGTGTCTCCGACAATGTCTCTGATATTACTGATAAAGTTGTAACGAGGCTCCCATTGTATTATTTTTCTTACATGGCCGACACAACGAGTTGCGTGCGAATACGCATGACTAGCAATGATAAGAGCGTACGTGCGGGCCTTATTTAAAATTTAGCACATATTTATCTACCCAGTGTGCTACCCGGCATATATTTACATAATATGGTAAGTTAGCGCTTCCCTACTTCCCCATAAACCTAAATCAAAAGCTCACTGAAGCGCGAAGAGTTTCACTCTGAATAAGTGTGCTTTCCACTACCTTGTCTCTCGGGGCGAATATCTCAACGACCGCCATGTTGTATGTGCAATTGCGCCACCTATAGGTATTGAGAGCTCGTACAAGGCCTCTGCACAACACTCGTACGAGGCCTCTGTGATATAAGCACCTCTGAATATTTCACAGCATCCAATTCAGCAAACTGTCACTTAAGCGTGCTGACCTACGTTTAGGAAACATAGTAAGGCCAAGAAAAAAAAAGCAGAGACGTACTGAAAGAGTAATAGACCGGAAAACAGGCGCTATCTACTCCGGCCTATGCACGACATTGTTTTGCTGTTCCCACAGCCATTTAATCTATTCTGTAGCCTGTAAAACCACATCACAACAAAGTTGGCGTGCACGAAAACTCAGTTATTTGAGGCAGTATGAGCCTTCTCACTAAGAGTCTTCTGAGAATACTTTTGATTTATATGTGGGGTTTCACGTTCCAAAACGACCATTTGATTATGAGAGACGCCGTAGTCGAGGGCTCCGGAAATTTTGACCACCTGGGTTTCTTTAGGTGCAGCCAAATCTGAGCACACGCGCCTACAGCAATTTCGCCTCGATCGAAAATGCAGACACAGCAGCCGGTATTCAATCCAGTGACCTGTGGGTCAGCCCGAGATTACTTTTCTCATTGCCAGTTTTCAGGGAAATTGACATGTAGCGCCATCTCTCGTTGACGACAGCGGCGTCCAGCCATAACTAGATAGTGAATGGGTGACAAAAATCACGTTTGATGAAGAAAAGCTAGTTATCAAAAACGACGACCACTCCTACACAGCAGGAACTAAAACGTTCTGTTAAAATATAAAATTACGCAGTAGGAACCATGTGATCTCCCGGAGTGCAATATATTACAACGGGGCCCATGACCTGCCGATGGGCGATGTGCGCTTGTGTTGAGAAGCCACGCACTTCGTAATGCGATGCTGAAATTGCACCAAAGATTTCCCGTAGGTCTGCGCTGTATAGATCTTGGAGTCTATCTTTAAAACGAGCTTATTTGAAAAGATAAGACTTTTTACGCTTCTTACCGGTTCAATTATGGCAAGACGCCGTTGCTGCCGCCAAGAGATGGTGCTATGTAAAGATGGCCAAAATTATGAGAATACGTCTATACTGCCGCGCGCGTTTCTGGCTTAATTAATTTTGGCGCGTGGGGGTTTCCAAAAATTGTTGAAAACATTCGGCGCAGAACATGCCAAAATGTTTGGGATGCTTGAGATTATTGGGGATCTTTCTGAGAAGATCTAATACACCGGTTTTCTCGAAGCCCCACGCCAGCGCTACTCAATATGCTGGAAAGTTAGAAGTCTACTGCCTAAAAGGCTCCTTTAGGCGATGATATTGACGGTAGGACATGTGTTCGCGGGTACGAGTGTGCAACTTAATATGCTTTATTTAGTCAATTCACCTTCAGGTCACAGGTTCGCCCAAATTCAAAGCTTTGTCTTCAACACGCTGACTACTGCCATTCTGAACGTCAATACTACGTGTGAACACACACACACACACACACACACACACGCACGCACACGCACACGCACACGCACACGCACACGCACGCGCACACACACGCGCACACACGCGCGCACACACACGCGCACACACGCGCGCACACACACGCGCACACACGCGCGCACACACGCGCGCACACACACGCGCGCACACACACGCGCGCACACACACGCGCGCACACACGCGCGCACACACACACGCACACACGCACGCACGCGCACACACACACACACACACGCACACGCACACCACGCACGCACGCGCACACACACACACACACACACGCACACGCACACACACGCACACGCACACACACGCACACGCACACGCACACGCACACGCACACGCGCACGCGCACACGCGCACGCGCACACGCGCACACACGCGCACACGCGCACACGCGCACACGCGCACACGCGCACACGCGCACACGCGCACACGCGCACACGCGCACACGCGCGCACACGCACACGCGCGCACACGCACACGCGCACGCGCACGCGCACGCGCACGCGCACACGCGCGCGCGCGCGCGCGACGGATTGGTCTTGTGATATATGATGCTTTCGCTTATGACTTCTCGAATGATAAGGCTCTCTTCATTTTTGTAGATTCTGCGATGGTATTGTTACTTGAGCTGGACAACAAAACCAATAAGAGCCCAACAGCGAAGTTAATTTATAACGTTCCTTTCTTGCACCAGCATACCCTACATGTTGCGAAGACAAAGTGAACTAGTTTGTTTTTTTTTATCCTGTATTTAGAACTATTCGGGGGTGTTGCGAAGAAGCCTTACAAGGCAGAAGGCAAAAATCATTTGGAAGAAACTCCTGAATCTTACGAAACCATCTGTATGAGACATTTTAATGCTGTTGTTACACCAAAAAAGGAACGACATGATGAACAATGTAGCTCCGTGTTACATATATTAGCCATACCAACGTAATCAAAAGCCCCAACCTCTAATCATATTTAAAAGCCCGTTTCTTTTCAGAGTCATGACCAAGTGCCAACTTTTGGATCTGAACCATCGAAAAATTCTGCCAATGCATCACCATCTCGAAAGCTTAGCAGTTGAAGCATCAGTACCTTCTCTGACACTGTAGGAACAGGTTTTAGCGTACAGAGGTTCAAGGGTTCACAATGTCACTGAGGCGGAGGTAGCGGAACATGTAGGTAAGGATTTCGGGGTCAAGGATGTCAATCGTTCTTTCTCCTCTTCGGCCTTCTTCAGTGTGAGGGTAGCACTGAAGCTTGCTCTTGACGATGCCGGCGTAGAAGATGAAGTTGGCGGCCAGTTGTTGCAGCGCGTCCCTGATGAGAACGCGATACTCGTCCTCTTCGGCGCCGTAGTAGTCCTCTAACGCAAACTTCAAGGAGCCCGCGTACCGAAGGGCATCGAAGGCTAGGGCTTGAGTCTTTCCCCTCCACCCGTAGATAAACCGAATGGCTTCGTTTACCAGCACCTGCAAAGGAAGCCATTGAGTAAGGTGAACGCATACCCGAAACCCACCTCTGTTCTTTTAATTCCTCTGGGACTTCGCCGAGGGGAGGTTACCCTACTGTGGAGGTTATGACTGGCTTTCGCACTTAAAATATTTACGCATGCCACATAGGCATAGCCTGGAACCATTGCGGCAGTTACAAAGTCATTTAGCAAATTCTTTGTGAATGCCCGCCGCTCTGCTTGCAGGGACGGTGCTTTTCAGTGCACTTGGTCAACTGGATGATGAGACTCTTGCATAAGAAAATTTTGTGCCGCAGACGAGATTTATGCCGCAGAAAAATAGATTTTACGCCGCGTTCAACTCGGAATGCCTTGCATATGTGTGGTTTTGCGGTTAAAATGCGAACTTTTCTTTCCGTACTCCAAGAACCTATGGCGTCTATCTATATCTGTCGATAATTAGACTTACCGCCTCTTTTTTCACCTGCTTTTGCCGCCTTGAGAGCAGATTCTCCCCACTTGACGCGTGGCCGTTTTGTCCGCTCCACTTTAGGGATGAAGGGTAATAAATTTTGTGAGTGTTTCACCACTCCGGTTAAAGAAAAGGCAAACAGCGCCTCGCCGCAATCATTGATTGGCGGCGGCATGGTCTGTCTCTGAACATCGGCGGTGGCGCGAACGGTGTGAGCGAAAACGGGCGGTGGTGTAGGTGGCGCGAGTACAGCTCTAGTACGAATATTGTAACAGGAGTGTCGTGATGACGGCATAAATTTGAGCGGTCTCTGACGGTACGTTGGCACCAAATGGGGACCCATCAAACACCTAATGTCAAATCATACGACTCTTAATTGTTTGCACAGGCACCAGCGCCACACGTCGCTATTTACGTTCCGTGAGGCAAAACGATATGCTACCCAGTGGTTTCAAGATGGGAGCCAACACGACAATTATCAAAGATACTGAGCGTAGCTGGCATATGGCAATTTACAAGCACCAAAGAAACTCCAAGCATGAGTAAACGCATGCAAATCTAAGTGATGCTCACCATGTTGCGCCTAAGGGCTTCTTTTATATGATAGTCGCTGGCGCGGTTCTCGGATGCCACACAGACGGAGAGGTCGATGATGAAGTAGTTGATCTGCATGGCCTCACGAATCCCGTAGCAGATGTCCTTCAGCTGGTACCAATGGTTGCCACCGCAGTGGAGGAGTTCTATTTTTAGCACGGTGAGAGTCGTGTTCAGCGCAACGACTCGGGCCAGCGCTTTCACGGCCTCTTTAGTGAATCTTGTGTGTGTGATGGTCAACCGTTGAATGGTCCTGTTTTTTTCCAGACCACGAAAAACCCGGACAACGTGGTGCTCTGGTATCGTGAGGGAGAGCTCCAATATTCTGCGAGAATTGAAGAAAAAAACAAGAAAGGAAGAAAAAGTGTTTAGAGTTTTCATGAATGGGCTTGTAAATACATGAATAATGCACACGTATTGTCACGTGGCCAGGACGTTGAAGGCAGCACTCGGCGTGCCCAAAATGAAACTACTTTAACGATCTTGTGGCTGGCAATGGAAACTCAAACTACTGCAAACAATACGTGCTGGACACGGATATCTGTCGAGGATTAATAGACCGTACCATCGGCCTTGGATGAACTGACAAGTGGTCAGTCACGTCGGAAGTGGAGATTTCGACAACTAGCGGTGCGTCCTGTACTCGGATAGCTGCGAGCACGGCGTCGGCTGCCGATAAGTGACAGATGGTTAAAACGCATCGGCTTTTATACATGCACCAAAGACTCCAGCTGCTTTATCGCTTGTGGTCGCATATATTTCAGAAATAAAGGCTAGCGTTGAGCATGTAGAGTCGCGTCAGGGATGTTTAAGACTATCTACAATTCCCATCACTCGGTAGTGGTGCAGCGTAAGGCAGCAGATATATTGCGATGTTGTGGTAGTGAGGTGGTTGTATTCGTATACACGAACACACATTAAGATATGTTGGGAAATGAAAATAGACGTTTAAATTACAAAACAAATTGTTTTATTGCGTTACAATTCATTTCCTGACACTGGGTTGCCACGTGCGGCGAGAAAGTTGGGGTTAAGCGGTTTAAAATGCTAAGATTCTCATGGCTCCACTCCACGACATTCGATCAAAAGGCTTCTTTAAGTGTAGCCATGACTATCTCCCCCTTTTCCCTTGAGCAATTTTACACTGATGGTTTCTGATAAACGTATTCACCATGATGATGGCTGCGTCGTAGAATCCAAAGTAAGGAAACGCTTTGTCATTACACCCTACTCAGTTGCTTGTGCTCAGTAAAAAAAAAAAAACATAACATTGATCCGGCTCACGCTCTGTTCGTTCTCTTTACTATGATGTTCAAGTTATCGGTAACGTGCGCTCCTTCATGGAAACCACCTAGGTATGTGCCATAGGATTCGGCTAAACCCGATTATCCTGGACAGCAGATGGAGTTCTCATGCGAATATAAAGTACAGAAAAAACGGAAGAAGAGGCACGAGTACGAATTTGACAAAAATTAAAATACAACCCCACGCGAATGCGATAGATGCACAACGTAAAAAAACACAGGATGAAACCGAAAAGTGAAACACGAAAAAACGGCAACAAAGACAAGTTAAGAAACAACGGTAAACAAAGAAATATTCAGAGAAAGATTCCAGGAGATCGACTGAAAGACAGATACAGAAAGTGAATCAGAAAAGCACAAACAGAAAGAGCGAGGCGGAAAACTGATTTGTAGGGTTCTGTGGCGCGAATCTCATGGCCAATACTGAAGACGTACTGTGAGATTTGTCGAACGAGTTATCAGGGCAGAAAGAAAGGAAATTTACAGGGCTCGTTCGTTAGATGCCATAGTAATCAGATCGAACAGAGAATGCCAGGCAGAGTAATATGGATGCTAGTAGAAGTAGTTTTAATGGGAATGTGTACAAAAAATATGGACAAGAAGATCACTTGCCACCGACAAGATCGAAACCTGTGACATATACATAACGTTCTACTGAGCATCGAATGCGTTATTCTAATGTCGCAAGTTCAGATTTCGCCGGTAGCAGGTTGTGTTTTCGTCCACTTTTCTTCCTTCACATTTACGCTACAGTTACTTCTCATAGACCTCGTATACTTTGATTGATTGATTTTATATGCGGGGTTTAACGTCCCAAAACCACCATATGATTATGAGAGACGCCGTAGTCGAGAGCTCCGGAAATTTTGACCACCAGGGGTTCTTTACCGTGCAGCCAAATCTGAGCACACAGGCCTACAATATTTCCGCCTCGATCGGAAATCCAGCCGCTGCAGCCGGGATTTGATCCCGCGACCTGCGGGTCAGCAGCCGAGTACCTTAGCCACTAGACCACCGCGGCGGGGCGACCCCGTATACTTTACCTAGTAATATTGTCTGGTTGTTACCATTATGATAGTTTTGGTGGTAGGATTAAAGTAGCATTTATTGTCTGGGTACAACGGCTGGGAAGAAGCCTAAAGTCAATCGCAGTATTAAAGCGTAAAATGCGTGAATACAGTATAAAATTATAAGTGACACGTGATGCGGCCTATGAGTGTCATATGGATGAGAAGTAAGCATGGTTGTAGACAAATAAACTTGAAATAGCACGATCGCCTGCTCAGGCTATTTCAACCCAAAGGCCGATATATATGTGAGCACTTTTTTTGATAGGGCAACTGCATCCGTAACGCTGATCAGTTGTGAGGTGGTGCTACGGATGACCTGGGAAAAGTACGTTTCTTGATATTGAAGAAGTTCATAGAGTGATATGTTGAAGAAAAAAAATTGGTAGATCCCAGGTACAGTGGGAGATGATATGCGAAGCACGGCTGCGGAAGCTTGATATGCAACTTCAACATCAGTACAAAGTTAAAAGACGGAAGTATATTATGGTGTGCATGACTTCTGTGTCATGATCATCATGTTTGTGCCAAGCATTTGTGTTCGTCGTCCATTCGACGTCACGTAATATTAACTTCGTACATGTGAAACTGGGGAAACGACCACGAGCACGCTGTGAGCATATCAAGTATTCATATTTTACTTGACACGCATATCGAGATTATCCTGTTGGGAGGCGTAATTTACACTCGTCGTCCATTAACAACACGTTGTAGGATATTTGGCATATGTGCAACTAGTAAAACGGCTGCGAGCACGCTATGAGCGTAGCATGTAATCATGTTTTACGTGACCCGCTTGTCATGATTGTAATTGGACGTGTCATTTGCCTTTGTGGTCTATTCGCGGAAATTGATACAGACATTGGCACTTTTAGAGCCAGCAAAATTGCCTCGACCCCGCTAAGAGCGTAGCATGTAGTCTTGTTACATGACACGCGTATCATGACGCGCATATCATGCTTGCACCAGTCACATAACTTCGTCATCCATTCACGCCCCGTAATACCAAGTTCGGTATATGAGCAGCTAGCAAAACGGCCGGGAGCGCTTCATGAGTGTGGCATGTAGTCATGTTGCATGACACGCATGCCATGATCTTCCTGTTAGATTCTGTCGCTTGTGTTCGCCTTGCAGTCATGTTTTACCATATCAGTTTTGCAACATGTCATGTGGACGAAACCAGCGCAAAAGCAGCAAGAATATAAAAGGTAATTATTACCATACATTTCATGATTTTTTGTTATGACTAGTCACTTCTGCTCGTCATACAGACATGTTATGCCACACAAATATCTCCCTTCATTCATCTCCATCCACCCGCTCACCCATCCACTTTTAGCTCTCCTGGTCATTTCGATACCATATCGATACCAAAGTTGGTATAGCATAACATGACTATATGACGAGCATAAGTGACTAACCATATAATGAAAACCATGACATGATGTCTTGACTCATGTATAACATTCCATAAACTTGCTGCTCTTGCACTGGTTTCGTTCGTATCGACTTACCTTATTCGTGGAATGGTATGAAATGACTGCTTTGCAAACATATGACATGCGAGTCGTGCGAGAACATAACTACATGCTACATGCGCTTGGAGCCGTTCCGCTATCTCCATGTATACTAACCCGGCGTATTTATTTGTAGCAGAGGTATACGGCAAGCAAGCCTTCGATCGACCCAATCCTGCAACTTCGTTTGCCTTCCGGGCTCTCACAACGCGCTGAAACTTTGCTGTCTCACACCAGGTTGGGCGTGGAATTTACGAATGCGTATTCTTGTCTCCTTTGAGTGGCGAGCAGTTCGGCATGCAACATGTGTGCTGGCGAGGAGACGCTCGAGCACATTCTATGTAACTGCCCAGCATACCACTCTGAACGACGTATTATGGAAGCCAGGCTCTGTAAGCTGGTTTCATGACCACACACAGAAAAGAAGATCCTGGGACCTTGGCTACCGGTTTCGCATACACGCAAAGCCGCGAAAGCCCTTTTGTACATCTTGAGGACCACCAGACTTCACGGGCGCTTGTGAAAGAGCAGCGTGAGACCGTGATGTGTGGTTTTGAGCTGACTATTTATCCATATCTTTTTTACTTCTCTTCTTTTCATCACTTTCCTTTCTATTATTCTCCCTTTCCCCACGCCCAAGTGTAGGGTAGCCAACCAAGCCAAGCTTGGTTAACCTCCCTGCCTTTCCTCTCTATTTCTCTCTCTCTCTCTCTGTCTCACGTATACCAAGTTTGGTTTTACTTGACGTAAATGAAGGATGAAGATATATGACTGGTGCAAACATGATAGTCATGACATGATAGTCATGACATGGTGCAAACATAATAGTCATGACATGTAGTGATGTAAGAACATCACTACATGCCACGCTCGTGATGTGCTGGCGGCTGTTTCGCTAGCTTCACATATACTCACTTTGGTATTACGGGACGTGAATGAACGACGGGAGTAAATGGCATGTGCAAACATGATAATCATAGAATGGGCGTCATGTAATAACTTGACTACATGCTACGGCCACAGCGCCATCGCAACCGTTTCGCTAGCTTTACATATACCAAATTTGGTTACGTTACGTGAATAAACGACGAACCCAAATTCCAGGCGCGAACACAATAATCATGACATGGAAGTCTTGTACGGGATAATTTACGTCCGGCTCTTAACATTTTGCCGATTTTAAAGTGGTATATTATCCTTACTCATTTGTGCTTCGCATATCATGAATTCCCAGTGTACGTGGGATCTGCCATGTTTTTGCACATTGAACCCAAAAAACACGATCTTCGGAGTATTGCCACAGTTAAGCGCTGTTTCAAAGCTAATCAGAAATCTAGCAATCGTATCGCTACGGACACCGACGCGGTGTTACAACAAGCGCTCACCCGTTTTTGTTATGTAATCAGAAAGCTGTAGGCCCTCTGTTATGAATCCTTATGTACGCACATTCACACGTGAAAAAAAAAACGCTTTGCCACTTATAGAGGCCAGAGCAGCACATATTGTGGGGTCGTCTAGTGGCACACGCATACCACTCAGCATAGCCTTGATATTGCGCAAAATATATTGGAGCCATTCGTTCGCTCTTAGCGAAGACAAAGCAGCAATATACATACCTGATATACTGCATATTTTCGAGAGCAAGGGCCAGGAGCAATACATAGTCTGGTGGTGGCAGTGGTCGGAACTCAATCTCTGCCTGTTTCGTGCGATGACACTGGCCGAGTGTGTTCAGAAGCAGCTGCAGGTCCTGGGGCCACCGCCAGGACAAGTTCAGATAAGCGGTGCTCGATGTGCACGATGTTCGTGCAATTGCGTACTGACGACCAAGTGGGTTATGCCAGTGGACGACTAGACGAGAGGCGAGATTGTATTGCCACATAACTGCGAACACGGCGATGAGATGTTGGTGGTGAGCTAAGTCGAGGCCAAGCACTTCCAGCGTGGAGTTGGCCTGCGTACGAACATTGCAGACGGCAAAGAGTCAAAATGGCTCTCGTCAAAGAAGTGTGTCGAAATTGTACTACAATGTATCCGAAGCTGAGATGCGTTCAGACTACACAGCACCCGTTTAAAGGGGCCCTGCAACACTTCAACTAGCCATGGAACGAATTGAATACAAAAGCTTATTGCCTCGTGTATTAACAGCTGCCAAAATTTTTAGAATTCGTCCAGTGTGCGCAGAGTTGAACACCGTTCGCAAGCTGGAAGGACTTTCCATCCTCTCTCGTCCCGACCAAAGTGCTGGGAGCTATGCAAATACCGATGGCACTAGAAAGAACATGCGTCCCGCACACGAGCACTTCTATTTTTTTTTGAATACACGGGATTGATCAAGCGTGTGATTTCCAACTATCATTCAAATCAGCGGATTTTTTTCTTTGAATATTTTTTCTTTGAATACGCGGGATTGATCAAGCGTGTGATTTCCAACTATCATTCAAATCAGCGGATGGCTGATGTGACTATGACGAGTAATGTTTTAGTTTCCTCCGTCGCTTGTTGAGAGAAAAGAAACTGATTTTTAGCCGACTGAAAATTCTAAAGTCCCGTCCCGTGGTATGATATTTAGCTCGCGTGTTCTAGGGAGCCTCTACTACCGAGCGCTAGCGTTCTTCGACCATGCTTGAGAAATGTTGCAGAGCTACTTTAAAGGTCGTCAACGATTGCTTTCACAACGTCACGAGGTAATCCGTACGGAAGTGTATGAAAGTGAGATGAAGGCGTTATCTTTTCTGAAGCCAAGAAAAATAAAACTAAGAAAAACTGATCTGGTCTCGAGATTGAGCCCAACACCAGTGCCTTTACGGGGTCACCGCTGAGTCGACTAAGCAAACCTTGATGCTAGCAATTTAAAGCGTGAGCTGTCAATTGTCGATTATCGTTTCTAAAGGCTTTCCGACACCTAGCGGAATTCTTCAGGGCTAACACTGCTACGCCGGGTAATCAATGACATGGTGTGTTTGTACGATGATATAAATATTAGGCTACCCATTGCCTTAGGAGTATTCACAAGAACGAAATCGGCAAGCTGGTGATGAATAAGATTAGAAACCTAACACGGACAGTTAGACTTGTTTATACATGACCGGAGAAAACATGCAAACAGATGGGATGAAGACGAGACCATGTGTATGGTACCCATCTGTGTCCCATCCGCGTGCCTGCATTTATTTTCTCACGACCAGAATATAGAGTTTACCTCAATAGAGATTTACTTGGGAGGCAAAGACAGTGGTTTACAAGTGTTAGGCTTGGCGCTTTGGCCGGAAAAGCGAGCGAAATTTTGTGTACTGCGAGCGAGTCGCAGAAGAACTTCTAGCCTGCGGAAAGCTATTCCAGTGCGGGCATCGTCATTCGAAGCCAGTAACGCACAATGCAGTCCGGCGTCACAATCGACCACAAAAGAGTTTTGGTCGCTATAGCTTCCCTCGAAGGAACAGCGCAGTCGCTGCGGTCCTTTTGATGTGTCAACCTTAGCGTGAGACCTTTAACTCCAACGACCTTCTCATGCCTGCGTGGGGACCCTGTGACGCCATAGTGGAAGTGTGGCGACTCCGCCGCAATCAAGGACGCTGTTGTGAGCAGGTGTGGGCGGTCCCGTTAAAACTGGTGTATTCCTTGGGATTGGATGAGGGAAAGGGCACCGAATTACACTAGCCAAAGGAAATGGGACAGTTTATAATGAGCCCTCGTGGGCGGTTTCCAAAGCTTTTCGATTTAAATTTTGGAAAGACTTTCTGGACGCGAGTTTGTCAAGATGTAACCCTCCATGTAGTCTATCTAAATGAACCTCTGTTAATTAAAAATAAAAACAAGTTATATGAGCAAAGTTGTACCGTAACACTACACTACCATTGGCGAGAAAAAAAAGAAATGAACACACAGAACAAGAACCAATTATGAAAACAGTGTTCCGTACCAAACATCTCACGCGATAAATGCCCTAGCATAACTAAGGGCTAGCAATGCAACCTTTCAAAAACAAAGACCTTGTTACTGACCACCGGTACACACTATCAAAACTAACAAGTGAAGTTTCATGCCTCGACCAATCCTGAAATCATTATTTGTATTTAGGCTGCAGTATTGCAGTTTATTCTCCGTGCATCTATATGTAGTTTCTTCCTCAGTTTGGCAATCGTGGCAATTTCACTTGGTTATGTATCTACATGCGAGCGATGTCTAATTTTGTAAATGTACTAGGTCAACTTTTTGCCTTTGTTTTTTTCTGAATTTTATATATACACTTGCAAGGTACTTGTATTCAATTTCTGTGTAATTAATGTGTAGTGAAGAAGAGGAGCTTCAGCGGCATTTCTCGGCGCATCAGGGGCATCGCCATCAGCATAAGCTCGTGCTTGCTGCGCTTGGCCGGACGCTGCTGACTGCTTCGCTTTCTGCGTTTTGCGCTGCAAATAAACCCCGTTACAAGAGGGTGGATTCTGCTGGGTTTCGATCACCCTGGACCATCAGAATCGCATTTTACCATCCATTATGCCTACCGACGCAAGCGCCGCTCCAACTCCTCCACCGGCACCGCCTACTGTTCTCTGCGCCGGTTTTCTGCGTCTGTGAGATCCCCCTGTTTTCTCAGGCACAGAAGACAAGGACGTTGATGACTGGATTTCAATGTACGAACAAGTGAGTACTCACAACAATTGGGATGACGCCGCCAAGTTGGTCTACGTCTCCTTCTACCTGTCGGACGTGGCCAAGCTGTGGTTTATAAACCACGAAGCGGGTCTCCCTACATGGTCGGTCTTCAAAACGAGCCTCACACAAGTTTTTGGGCGGCCTGAGGTACGCCAACGCCGTGCTGAACAATGGTTACATACTCGGTCCCAGCAGCTTGGTGAGAATTTCACAAGCTATATTGAGGACGTTCTGGACCTTCGCAAGCGAGTCAACGAGTCGATGTCCGAAGAGCTTAAGATCAAGCATATCATGAAGGGCATTGAGGACGACGCTTTCCAGATGTTGCTTTCTAAGAGTCCTCGCACTGTCCTAGAACTGACCGAGTTATGCCAGAGTTTTGACAAGTTGCGCAGGCAACGTCTTTCCACCCGACGTCCCTCGGTGCTCGACGACTCTTCGTCCAGCCTTTCCACCCTTGGCATAGGAGAAGACTATGCCCCTCTTCTCTCCAAGATCCAAGAGTTCATCCGCGCTGAGGTCGCTCGTCAGCTCTCTTTGATGTCCTGCGTACCCGATCAACCACGCAGATTGACATCTACACTCCGCGACTTCATTCAAGACCAGGTCGCACAAGTTCTTCCTCCCGCCCGTGAACCGCCCCCAGCCGCCGCACCTCTCACGTATGCCGAGGCCGTTGCTCGACCTCGACAGCCTGCGTTCCAGCCAGCACCTATGTATTCGCCGCCGCCCTTTTCGCTGCCGACCTATTCACCGTCGCCTATGCCGATACCACCTCGGCCACAGTTTTCTGCCCCCAAGCCGCAAGTCGGAGTCTACTCTGACCAATGGCGGACCTACGACAACCGTCCCATATGTTTTGCTTGTGGTGATGTTGGCCACGTGGCACGTTATTGTCGTCGTCGCCAGGCTGCTCAGAACATTCGACGAATGCCCTCTTTCGACCCTCAGTTTTCTTCTACGCCTTCAAGACCTCCTTCCTCTTCCTTTCCTTCTGATCGTCCACACGGCCCGACCCGCCGCTCCCCATCTCCACGTCGACGTTCGCTTTCCCCTATGCGTCGCCATTCCGGACCCACCAACCAGGAAAACTAACGGCCGCAGTTCCCGAGGCACGAACTGCGTCCCCGTCGCCATCCACAAGTCTTCGCCCCTGTCCAGCTAACGTCATTGAAGTGTCAGTCGATGGTATCATCGTCATAGCGCTTGTCGGCACCGGCGCCGCTCTATCCGTCGTTTCCATCAACCTGTGCCACAAACTCCGCAAAGTTCTGACGCCATTATCCGGCCTATCTTTTAGAACGGCTAACGCACAAAGGGTAACACCTCTCGCAGCCTGTACCACAGGAGTCGTCATCGAAGGGATTGCGTATATTGTCGAATTCGTAATGCTGCCCTCGTGTTCCCATGACATGATACTCGGCTGGGACTTCCTTGCGAATAATAATGCCGTCATAGACGGCTGTCGCGCTGAACTTGAGCTATCTGCACTTCCTGATGTAGACGCTGTCGAAGCCTCCCTGCCGCGTTATAAACTGTTTCCGACGACACCACCGTACCACCGCGCTCTTCTCTGCTGGTGACTCTGTCGTGTGACGCTATTTCCGGCGGTGATGTTTTATTTACGCTTTTGCCCTGTTCATTCAACGCAAATGTTCTCTCTTGCCCATTGCTCTCCTTACTCTCCACCATGGCGTAACGAAGACGCTCGTGTACGATACGCTAGAAGGGCCTTTACCTTTATTCTATGGTGAATGTCTCGGTCACGTGCATCCGATGGACGCCCGTCGTTTTTTGACGCTCCATCTAGTTTACTTTCTACGGACCTTAGCGCACTCATTTCTGACTGTTGTTGACCAGTCGCTCCTTGACGCTTTCCACCGCTCCATAGATGTCGCAACGTCTTCTTCAGAACGATGCCAGTTAGTGAACCTGCTGCAAAAGTTTCGTACTTCTTTTGACAGCCACGCTTCTGGCCTCAGTCGCACATCGAACGTATCTCACAAGATTGACACCGGAAGCCATACGCCTCTACGGCAGCGCCCCTACCGAGTCTCAGCGTGGGAGCGCCGTGTTATTGACGACCAGGTTGCTGACATGCTCTAGCGGGGTATTGTACAGCCTTCAAACAGTCCCTGGGCGTCACCGGTCGTTCTTGTTAAGAAGAAGGACGGCTCCATTCGGTTCTGTGTGGACTATCGACGTTTAAACAAGATCACCCGCAAGGACGTTTACCCGTCACCGCGAATAGACGACGCCCTTGACTGTTTGCAGGGAGCAGAATACTTCTCTTCGCTG